AATACATTCCATGATATAAATCCTACCCTCGGTCGCTTTTCGCTTTTATTTCCAACGCAGCGTATTATACTCGTAACATGATACACAGATCAAATTCCATTAGAACAGCGTAATGTACGCTTTGCGTGATAGCCAAACATCACGTTCATGTCGACAGACAATTTCTGGGATTTTGATCCGTGGCTGACTGACTTCCGACATCTCCGAGGATATTTACTACAGTCTTGGATATTCCAAATTCCCCAGAACACAGCATTTAATCACGCCGTGTCTATACTGCTGGCTTTATTGATGAATGCCTTTATTTGTAGTACTGTCTGCGCTTCACTGATACCGTTTTTCTGTTATGGCCCTGGATAAATTGCCTAGATTAGTTCTTTATTTGTCAAGCTTCAAATAAATTCACTGATTTGCTTTAATACCTGGAAAACCCGTTACCTTGCAACAAAAAATAGATGGGAAAGGGCCATAATAGCAAAAAAATGTTAGTTGCTGCTCTTGCAAAGAAGTCTGTATTTCTGTGTAACATATCATTATATACTTATTTATATATATGAATGTTTGAGTAGGTATTAATCTTGAACGCAAAAAAAGAACTTTCTGAGGAAGTCGCCTTCCGACTGTCTTGTAGAAATGTTCGTAAATTTCTCCTTTAATTTGAGACTTTGGCGAGCAATGTTTCATGTGTACTTATGAATCTTACTCCATAGATTTAAAGAAACGTTGCAACATCTCCCTTCGTTTTCCTTTTATTCACTTTGGTATAGCTTCCTTACTTTTGTTTGTTATATTCAATTTTAAATTCTCTTATCCGTCTGTGGTAATTTGAAGTATGTGGAAAAAGAAAAGTAAGCCTATGTACGTGTACATATAGATTTAAGTGGAAAGTTAATCAGTCATCTAGGCAATCTAGACTACAATAGTTTCGCACACTTACACGGTGCTCATGTATAATTTACCGTCAATTGCCAATCATTGCTTAACAAATGCTGGCGGTATTATTTATGCATGAGAACGATATTATGATGTTCACCAAAGAGAAGCTATATTAAATTTCAATGGCAAATTTCTCTTTTGGGGGGAAATTACATACATTTTAAGTCTAGACATTATCATAGTTACTGATATTTGAAGTGTACTCAGTGCATTTTTTTTTTCAAACATAACATATATGTATCATGAAGTGCCCTTTAAACCAAAAACCCTTACAACAGAACGTTTACAATTAGGCAGTTTGCTAAAAAATAATGACAATTATCTTCATCGTAATCATGTTGCGTTTCTTCAAAATTAAAGATGAATGATCACCTTACTTGTTAGATAGGCGACTGCAATCAAACATCTTAGTTTTTATGCACTTATCTAATAGACACATAAATTAGCCGTGGAAAGCTGGCTGTCTTTTCAAATGATATCATTCATCTTAATTATGCAAGATGAGCCAAAGCCAGAACACCGGTCTAAATTCTTAGAAAAAATATGAGTCTGCTTTAAATCAAGATAATTTCAGTACTACTGGTCCAATTAAATGAAATATTGCGCCTGTTTTAAAACAGGAAATACAAGGCTAATTATTTGATTCAAACGGATTACTGTAGATTTATCTTAAAGTGATCTAGACTGATTTTTTCATGTAAACGTTAAGCCCCCATTTCGAGCTTTAGCCTTTTGTGAAACCAGCCAATGAGATTTAGGCCTGGATTTCTTACGTCATTAAGATAGGAATAACGACAGAGATCTAAGCGTTATTACGACCACGCATTTGCCGGTAAGCCACAAAGTTCAAAAACAGCAGAAACAATTCTTTTTTCGTACAAGGAACATCTGATTTTTTTTCAAAACCAATATTCTCTAATAATTAGCCTATTCCTTTTTTCACCCAAGGTAAAAAAGCTAAAGCCATCGATTTTAGAGATTAACTTTTGGTTTGAATGATTGGGTAAAACTTCCTCAGCTGACAGAGTGCGTGGATATTTTACATTGTTTTCACATGCCTTAACATGGTGGAATTAAGCCACAAAGAGATTTTCTTTCCACTTTGAAATATAGCAAGTGTATCTGTTTAATTTTTTTTAACAAATCCTGTCTGATTATTCTTAAATTACGTTTACTTGTTATACTAGAATATGTCATGACTAATATTTTTTCTGACTAAAAGCAAAAGAAGGATCAATGGCTTTACCCCCAAAGCTTTATCTTCGTTTTAACTTCTGCATGACTGCATGCGTTTTCTAAGGGCATACTTAATAATTACTTTTTTTAGAAATGATAGGCCTCAAAGGAAAGTGGCATTTATATCTCGTCTTTATTAAGTAAGTTATGTCCAACTGCGTCGAACAAAAACCGTTGTATTCTGTTTTGTTAGCTTGCTTTTATTTCTTTTGGGCCATGGCTTCACCTAAGTGGGATTCCGGATTATTTGTCATATTCATGAATGGCTTCTGTCAGACTTGATTTTGGAAAGTAAATTTTAGGCACGAAATCTAATCTACTCCTTTAATAAAAGTCATTTAGGGGAAACTTAAGATAGCTAGGTAAAGTTACATGGATAAGTTGGATTTCTGAATACAAAGGATTGGAAGAATATGATTCAAATTTAAGGATAAAATAGAACAGATATGCAGGACTGACATGCGTTAAAACGAACTAAAAAAGATATTTAATGTTTTGTTTTAATCACTTAGTAATATGTATCTGTGCAACGTTAACATAATCCAAATTTAACATAGGTGAAAAAATGCAAGCTATAAGCACCTAAATATTCTAGATGTGAATAGCATGTGATCAAACGGAAGGAATATTACATATATTTACTGCGTCTTAAACAATCCGAATACAACAAATATTGCAGTTTGAAATTCGGTTATCGGCAAAATAATAAAGTCGCTTACGTCATTTTGTCTGACAGGTATAGATCAAACCATTAAATTGTTCTAGTGATAGGGGTGTCGTGTTACCGCATGATTATATCTATATTATTGCTTTTGTTAATTATTTTATTGTTAATAAAGTTTGATAACAAAAATTTGAAAGCGTATTTTTGCATGTAAATAGAACACATCTTCATCTTTCATGTGCAAAGGCAGTCATTAGCTTCAAAGAATGTTTCACAATTATGGTTAAAACTGATGGTAAAAGTACTGGTAGTCATTACCATCTTTTTTCCAAATCAAATTAATTTTCTTAACGAGGCAGGGTGACAGTCACTCTGCCTGATATTGGGTGTGATGAATGTAGTAATTAACCGAAAATTGTCTCATTCACTTATGTGATTAATGGGTTGTATGAAGTGAAGTTTCATTAGCTTGTTGCTTCAGGCAAAGATACTGACTCGTAACGCAGTAATATCTGAGACATATTTCATACACAGAACGAAATACCAAACGTTGGGCTCAACTTCTACGGGAACTCTCGCCGAATGCAGTCAATTTAACAGATTAACACGCCTCATCCAGGCGTTGAGTAGGTTGCAGAAAAGGTAGTTTTATACGCGTACGCTGCAACCAAGGAAAGCGTGTTTATATGTTAAACTGGCTGCATTCAGCGAGAGTCCCCGCTGAGTTAGATCGATCTAAGAAGACCGATAGTTTTAATGTGAATAAGCCCTAAGAATGAAGACATCAATGTGAAGTGACGTGGGTCAATTTGAAAGGGAAAATAACCTTGCCTTCAGTCCCGATAAGATACTCCTAAGACCTGTTCCCTTAATCTAATCCTGGATCCAGTGATGCTCTCCAACTCGATTCTCCCCTTATGATGCAGGAGTGCTGGTCGATATCAAACTATTGGTGCACGCTGGATAGATCGGCGCCTAGGGTTGTACAATATTTATGCGTATATTATGGGTATTTCAAAAGAGATCCTTGGGATTTGGGAAGTGTTCGGACCTCGGGTTGATGGCATGGCTTGCTTGATTGTATCATGTCTGAAAGGCGTCATACTAAAACAGACCTCGTAGCAAACCATATCGTTTGTTTCTATAGACTACCTTTTTTTATCTTTTTCTTTTCTTTAGGGGGAGCCTAGGCATATATTATATGAGACGTATAGTTATATACCCCCAGTACTCATGTGTGTCATTTCTGTCGGATTCATGCATATACGTCTTGTTCCTCTCTCTCTCTCTCTCTCTCTCTCTCTCTTTTTATTTGGGGGGGGGGGGGGGGTGAGGGGGGTGAGTTGGGGAGTGTGACTTTTTTCGGCAAATATGTTTTAAGATAACACTTTCCGCACAGTGCATCTGTGAGTGGCAGACTTGTTACTTAGAGCAGGCAGCTATATCTGGTACTATGCCAAGCACTTACCAAACGTGTCATCAGTGTGGTATTTGGGAATTTCAATTCCCCGATTTAACATAAGAATGCTTAAGGCACAACGCGTGGAATTCTCAAACGTGAGTCAATTCGAAAATACGAGCTGTTATATTTCACAGCAACTACGTAAATCCATCTATCTTTTAAAAAAGCGGTTAAGTTCAACGTTAATGGCTATAGATGGTATGGATACATAATGTTGTTAAATAAACAAAATAGCATACCACAAATTTCCACTGTAGCGCGGTAACATCAAGGTTTGCTCTTAGGAATCCTCGTCCGAGGCAAAAAGTCATTAAAGGTGAGGCGTAAACGGTATACAGTAGAATATAACGATATAATAGCAAATATATGTGATACATGGTTCATGTTGGTGCGTCATCCAAAAAAGGAGTCTTCAGCAAATTGTTTGGAGTACATGCTGTATACTGAGGGTGATTGCAAGTAATATGCCCTTTGCGCTTTGCGCTTTGTGACGAAAAATGAAGATAAAAGTGTGCGTCTGAATGCAGTTTTTGTCATTACCGTTCCCCGACACCCAACACACACATACACATGCACATGCACGCATCCAGAGAGAGAGAGAAATTCAAATTAGAGAACCCTGTGTAGTAGTTTTGTCGGTAGCCCCTCTCTCTTTCAGGTAATTCTCTTTTTCAACTCTTATAACTGTAATATTATTTTCAGCTCAACGATCCAGATAACATATACCTGGACGAGAACGACCACACCCTGACAGTGGAGATCCACTGGCTGATGTCACACCTGTTGTACCAGGTGGAATACGGCAAGACGGACGACGTCCACAAGGTACAGCGGCACCAAATGAGGTAAGATTCAGGCATCCTGTACGCTATAGGGCCCGTTTCAAAAAACGAGCTAAGTTTTAGGACTTAACTAAGACTGCTAAACTCGCATGGTTAAGCCGACTTTATGAAGGTGGCTAACGGATATTGGGCAAAAAAACGTCTCAGGGTCGATTTGTTTCACAACCATGGAAATTTTTGTCAGACATTAAAAACAATTTTTAACTTCCTCGACCAGTGTTTCATTGCGTGTGACGGAAAAAAGAAAGGTTAGCTGTAGACCAGAGATATTTTAATGTTTGTAACGAAATACATTATAAGATGTTTAAATATAAACGTGCTCAATATTTCAATTATTAGTAGACCGAAAGTAAATAAAGAAAGATGGTTTAGTATAAGCCGACTATCCAAGTGTATTTATTTAAAACCAGAAAGGAAATAACAATTTCCTCAGTTGTTATAAATAGGTAAGATATAGATTAGGTTGAGCTAATAAAAACATGATACCACATGTATACAACATTAAATACGTGTATATATAGTACCAGTAAGCAAACGCCACCATTTCACACTGTAAAAAGAAATCAGCTTTAATGCAATCAAAATTTGATCAAAAGATTGACTTTCAAAAATTGATAAAAGATTATTATAATTATAAAATGAGGAAAGCGGCCCCTTAGCATTATGTGAAACGCAAATAAGTTGGTTAACAAACTCATGTCAGGTGGTGATGATTCTTTTCAGTTTTACAGGACACTTGATAATTTACAGTCTGTATACTTTATTGAATACAGAGGTTAAAACAAATACAACATCTTCGAACTCATAATTGCTTCTAAGTATTGCTACCGAGGATATATCTGCCGTAGGTGGTCGACAACTTCAAATGGCCAACATCTGATTTACAAATGCTTAAATTTAATGCATGTCGAGCGTTGTGTCGTAGCGATATTGCTGTACCGGTATGCTATGGAGGGTCTATCGTGTAAATTAATTAAGCAGAACATCAAAGTATGTCTCTAAGTGCCATTAGTGCCATTGTATGTGTTCAAACTTTGGATGACCCCTGCATAAGACTGGCTTTGAGAAACACGAATCACAGTCTCTCGTTCCTCAAATGGGTTTTCAAAACGAATCCAACAGCGCATGGATTGTTAATACAGCCACCTTTATGATTGGTTTGAAAATCCAACGCACCGGTGTCGGTTTGATTAATAAAGTGTCTGATCTCCCGGCGGCGCTGCGTGACGCGTGTTAGTCACTTTCGGAGGGCAATTCTGAGTGATGAATTACGTGGTTTATTTCAATTTCAAATGCACTGCTGTTTTCTGATTTATTGGGTGGAATTTAGCGTCTATGCATGCATGAAGATGAAAACTGACATAAAGTGATGTTTCTTATCGTTCAATCAACAGAGATTCAATACATACACAAGAGGTTAGGCTGTGTCATGCAGTGGATGGGATGGGATTGCAGAATCGAAAATAACCACTTTAGAAACTTAGTTTCAAAGACGTAATAAGCCATATATGTATTACCTTGTGCCGATTTTTTCGACGTTAAAGATTTCTGGGCTATAAATACATATCTTTGCGTTCATTTTTGTTTTACCTGACTTAGCAAAAGTTGCCGTTAAAAGGCATTTCGTTGAAATTTCGCGTCCAGTAAAAATTACTTTTGGTCTAGATCCGTTACTTTACTCCTCGTTAAAAATAGAAAGATAGATGTATTTAAGTTAAGTTATTTGAAAAACAAAACTGGTAGGGTTTGGATAAGAGATATATGCTGCGATAGCTACAAGAGGTTCCTAAAGGCGGGCAAATTTGTCACTAATACACTGTACCATTTGGGCAAACATTAAACTCTAAAAACACTTTAAGACCGGATAATTTGTTCGAATTAAGCGAAGATTCCACTTGGGTAGAATCCGCATCAATTTCAACCAATGCCAAAAAAAAAAAAAAACATACAAGTTATGCGTAGTCGACTTTATTTGACACATTTGATTGATTAGAAGAAATATGATTATCCTTGTCCCATCTGTTGGAAAAACCACTAAGTGAATTACCCGTCCTAAATGTCCGGTCCATTAATATAACTGATTGAATTTCAGTAGATATATAAGTATGTGTCAGTTTTGGTCACTGGGAGTTAATCAACCCGCGCGCCTCCTCGTCAGTTTGACCGTGTAAATGCTCTTTTCAGCCAAGTTGGGTGAGGCTATCTTTGGCAGCTGTAGATGCCTTCTGAGCAAGACACGTGGGATTTGTTTTGCAAAAAGTCTGAGGTCAGTTTTTAACCAAAAATATTACCCGACCAATTCTTAATGGATTTGGCATTGTTTTGCAAAGAATCTCGAAGACCACTTATCTCGTTTTTAGTCTCTTAACTAATCCCCTTGAGTAAATTGTGGTTATTTTGACGACTGATTTTACTCTCAGTGGTGACAACAGTCCATTTAGGGAAGTCAGATCCATTTATTGTGAGCCAATCATTCATAAAAGCCATTACACTATTACCGCAAAGTGGACATTGTTTAGTCAGCTATCCAATTTAGTAGTCTAAAAATAGCCCATAGAATTTTACATGTAGATTTTTTTCTTGTAACGGACTCCTGATCACGAAAACCCACAACAGGTAACCGATTCAACTCCTTTGTTTGGGGTGCGTTTGGAAGAGTGTTGTACTGGGACCATAGATTTTTTATTTATTAAATAATTCATACCTCGGTTTACATATTTGATTATTTATTTACTTATTAATTTTGAATGAGTATGGAAGCAGCTTCAAGTGCCGTGTTATATAAGAAAAATGGTATTGCCAAAATGTATGGAATACACCGATCCTAATAACGCACAAAACAAGCGTCCATTAAAGATTCAAATTTTATTGACTGCGTTTTTCTCAAGTAGGCCTACTAATTCATTTTTATGTACTATACGCAGACGCCGCGATTTCCGAGACGCCGAGCAATGACACACGTAAAATTACCATAATCAAATTTACTTAAGTGGGCACAAAATGATATATGTATATCTTTCTCATAACTGCATTCTGAAGCCGTAAGCTTAAGGTAGGCTAGTTCTATTTTATGGTGAAGTAGGCGAAGAGAAATTACTCAGTATCTGTGCCCACTCCAAATCATTTCCAGTTTCAGAGAGTTTGCTCACATGGAATCAGTAATGTAAGGCAGAAAACTTCTTATGTTGTAAAGGAGAGTTTCCACCAGTACTTTTAAAAACACACAGTAAGCGTTAAGCCATTCTAGAAAAAAAAGATTCTAAAAATTTTAGCAATATCCCCTTTATCAACAAGGCACATCATATCCGAAGCCACTCCAAACTCAACGCCGGATTCACAGATCGTAATGTGTAAACGTGTTTGTATGTGGTATGCATGGAGATTCGTGGAGATTCAGAAAAAGTGTTCAGATCTCCAGGAAAATTAAATGTCTGCTACTTACTGTCAAACACGCTTATTGTATGCTTTTAAGGTAGGCGGAAAAACACAACCTCTGCCCACTCCATGATTTACGATCTATCTGAAACTAATATATGTGCAATTGAAGCTGCATCACTTTTTCTGTGTAGGCAAAGCTAGAGGCTTAGGTGAGAAAAGAAACCGTCAGTGCTTTATAAAACATATCAGTGCTTTAAAAACATACATTGCACGTTGGACCGTTATAGGGCCTACAGCAAAAATAAAATTATAATTTTTCTGGATATTGCACGTCTTTGACCTCAATTACCAAAATTTGTTTTGTCTCAAACTGTTCACAGAATTATGAATCATTACTCCGTTCTTGAGTTCCAAGTTTCGAAAAGCTTTTAGAGTCGCTCTTACGGCGAGAGAGACTGATAAACTGCATTCGTGACGGGAAAGATTAGGAATACGGAACTCGACAACGGGTTTATGAATCGTTATCCACTCAACTGGTTTGGGTAGGGAAAGGGAAAATTGCTGGGATTTCCAAGAAATTTATTTTTTGTGCTATATAAAGGAGCTTTTAACTTTCATTATACCGCCTCACTTATGGTGATCCCTATGTTAGGTTATGTCCCCTGGTACTGCCCCGTGTCCCAAATGAAATTACGGAGGCAATCTGTAATGACGCTGTGCGTTTTCTATACCATGTCAGGTCAAGTTAAGTTCTTTTCGCTCAACTGTGCGCTGAAGTAAAGTGGGCGAGCTTGATTAACCCTTTCAGGGGCTTAAATTAAAACTTAAATACTAAATGTTACGTGAATAAATTTGCATGCATCACGCAATTTCTCATAGGTCATTTTCTTTTTTTCTTATTCCCAACATAGACATGTACCTAGCTTGTTTTCTGTATTTTTTTTCAGTCGGGAACTATTGGCTCTTCAAGCTGAAAACTATTCTCTGGAAAAACAGCTGCACAGTTACCAGCAAGCCATAGCCAAGAAAGATTCCAAAGGCCGCTATTCTGAGGACGGGTCACTGGAGGATTAACAGATAACGGGAAAAAAATTAACGAGGAGGAATTAACAGATTGCCAAAGAATTCGTGAACTGCGGATTCCCAAGGGTTTAACAGATTGCGGAAGAATATGTAAACAGCGGAAAACAGGAGAAGCAACAGGTTGTTGAATGGTCAACAGATTACGGCACATTTAGTGTACTGTAATTACTCTTAAATCTACGGACTTCTGGGGAATCAGGTTGCGGGAAAATACTTATTTAAGGCGACTCTGACAAGAAGATCAACGGATCCCTGTAGAACTAAACGATTGGCAAGTGACTTAAGGACAAGCATTCCTTGACGTATGGCGACCATAAAAAGGCTACTCTTCTTCCCCGTGGAATGTTCCAAATGTAGACCCTCGGGGACAGACGGATACAAGAATAATTAGCACATATCAAGAAGATAAGTGTAGAGGATTCGACCGATCAGTTTAAAGCTTTCAAAGACCAAAGTAATTCTTGGAATCACTCACGGAAAGATGGGTAAAAGGAGGTTTGGCTTATTTCTGAGGAATCAACGGATGATAGATGGTGTATCGAATAATTTCAGATATTCAGGCTGTTGTTGGAATGGTCCCCATCCTTTAGTAAGATAGATTTTAAATGACAGTGCTAAAAGATGAACTACGAGTTGACGAATAGTTGTAGATTTAACGTATGACTTGAAGAACGGCTCAGCTCTTAGGGATTAATGACATTAATATATTGCCCGATTCATTCTGACAATCAATATCAGTTAATACGTTGATGCTCTTTTTATACATTATCAGCATTGCAATACGTTTAAATAGTGACTCATATACAATATTGGAGTCGGCTTGTGGTCAAATAATTGCACAAATATATTCGCGCACTCGATTGCACAAAATTCTGTCTAAATAGGATTACTTTTTTCAAAGCTTTTTTCTCTTCGAAATGCATACTTACACAAAGACCAACGACATCATTTTGGCTTTACAGTGAGTCTTTGATCAAAACTAATCTGTAGCCAATCTTATTCACCCGTTTGGTCGTGATGCTAATGGCTATCATAAGCCTTTTGACGGTAGTTAAAAGAAAAAGAGAAAAAGAAACACCCAAGGGAGGTAGTAAGCATGAGAAGAGATTCTTTCATCTTATATTTAAACCTATTACATTGGTTGTGAAAAGAGTGAAAATCAAAATTCGGGAGATTTGATTTTTAGACTCGAACTTCAGAGGCCGTATGAACTTCCTCTGTGTTCATTCCTTTGCCAAAAAATGTCTTCATATGTATACATTATTTTATCAAGAAGACAAAGAATTACCCATCTGATAGACCCATGTTTACATTTTCATTGCTTGAAGTTTCAACTCTTTATCATCTTTGTTTATTAAACATTATAACAAAACACGTCTTAGTGCGTTCTGAAACATGCTACATCATAGTGACAGATGTCTACTGAGACGTTTCAAATCTATAAATTATTTCAAAACGATAAACGTACTCAACCGTTTGACCTTACAGCGATTACATGCTTTTTATGAAATAATAATGTTATTGTTAATAGTGTCCATATTCGTCTAGATTAATATCCCGAACTGGCAGAAATCCTTATGGCATGCAAAATAAAGATTTCGTTTCACTTCAACTCATTGTTTAAAGTACACTACAGTTGCCTGGCTAGCAGTCCGCTAGAAGCCAAGAACGGTTCTCCACGTGTTGAGATGAGGTCCAAAGTCCAACATGTAACAACTACCGTCTCTTCGTTTTTCTGTTGAACATGCCTTCGCTAAAAAAGGAACAACGGAATATACTATAATGGATGTAATAACTTAATAGTCTCTTTGTACTTAAATAAGAACAACATGTCCAGTATAACACATATGTCTATAACACATATATTAAATGTTTTGGGCGTAGCACAATCACACGGCTCAACAAAAACAATTATACCGATATAATTATATTTTTGGCTCAAGATATTTCATTTTTGTTTTTAATTTTCTGACAACGCTGTTCGTGTGACATGTGTGACATTGATACTTCAAACTCAGTGCATGTATGTGTGTTCGCGCTGACTTGGGTGCATGCTTTACTGTCCGTACATGCCACTGTACCTGCATGCGTATGCTTTGAAATTTACTTAAGCTTGCGTCACATACAGATATACATATGTGTATGTATGAAAAGTTCAATGCTGGCAGAAAAAAACTATAACCAGAGCTGTCATGTCTGTCTGAATCTCAATTCAATAAACTGACAAATGTTCTCTATATAAAACACATACACTAGTAACTTACTCAAACATTTCCATGGCAAGCTTCTCTGCTGCTTCCTGTTGACTCTCAGCCTAAAAAATTCAAATAATTAAAACACTCATTATGTTCATAAAGTATCATGGGTAAATAGGTAATTTCAAAAACTGTTTTTGGCATTTAAAAAAATTCTTTGAAACTGTACCTCAAGTTCCTCCCTGAACCAATCATCCAGCTCCTTTCTTGGGCCATTGACATGCTTTTCCAGGTCTCTTCCACCAATGATATGTGGAATCCCATTGGTCAATGGCTGGTTTACCTGAAAATAGCAACATCAACGTACAATACATGCATAAATAACAAAGCTGAAATGGGAGGCCATAGACCTATATTCCGAACTTTGATAAAATAAAGAGAAAAAACAAAGGAAAAAGACTCAAGGCCTCAAGTCCTTTGCTAATTTTTTACATAGAATAACAACTACCATCAATCTAGGTTCTAAATGATTACATATATGCAAAAGTCCAAAGATTCTTGAAATGTTCCTTTTCATCTTTTACTCCTGTGAGTAATTAAATTAATAAATTAATGGCAGGTATAAAAACTAAAACAAATAAACAATCAAATTTCAGTGTCAGACATAATGTGCAGTATCTTACCTTTCTAAAATTCTTGAAATTCTTCACTTTTTTCCCATTCCATGTGGTCACTCCACTTGCTGACTGCTTGGACTGCTGTGGTCTTGTTTTTCTGACCACCATGGAGGCAAACTGGACCTGGATTAAATTTCTTGGTAAACTCTCTTCTCCTTCACTTTGTCCATTGACTCTATTTTCTCCATTATGCACTATTAACTAGAAATATTGGAAGTAAAATGTTATAATATTAAAATGAATGCTTCAGAGATGAGGAAACAAAATGCTGAAAATAAATCAAGGCATGAATATTAGAAATATGAATACAGCCAAAATCACATCAGTTTTGTGAAATTGTGCTGTGGTACATTAATAGGTTACTCTGATGAGGCTAAAATAATATAAATTTAAATGTATATGAAGTGTCAAATAGGTATCATTTGACTTTAAAAAACTACAGCTCACTGTGGAAGTTGCCTCTGTGTTCTTAGTGAGGAAGCCTGGTGGGGGATCCTTGTGTCCTGATGTACTGCCATTACCATTAACCTGAAACATAGCAGAACAGAACATTTAATTAGCAGTACAGAACTCGGGTTCTTAATGCACCGTCCCTCTCAATGGCTAAGTAATTCATGACGAACCTATTAGTAATTTTTTCAGTGACAAGGTTCCTTGTTACAATAGGAAGAAATGGCTCAGTGGTCATATGGAGGACACACTTAACACAAAAACTGCCAAGAAAAAATGTTTTATGATTTATATGATAAAAATAATTAGGTCTTCATGATAAATAAGGTGTTTTTAATGGATAACTGAGAGCTGAAGGCAAACTTTAAAAAATTAGAAGTGGGGATGCATTTTTCCTTCAAAGTTTCAGTCTGCCTATATCTAGATACATATATAACACATACTTCTACTTCTGTTAAGCTGTCCTCTTGGTCATCATATGTCAATCTCCCTATTGTCTTTTGACCTTGAGCATTTGTTCTATTAGTCTTTGATGTAGAAGGTTGAACCTTTCCATAATCTTGGTCACTTCTACTAGAAGGAGAAGCTTTCGGGACAACATTTGTGACCATTGGGCTAGACGTAACCATTTCATCTGTACTTGTCTTGGAAGCCCTGGGACCATCAAAATCCCTGTCCCGTTTTGAATTTTTCTGCTTTAAACTTGGCACTATATCATCAAATTCTTGTTCAATATTATCTTCCTCCTCATCATCTTCAATTTTCACTGTATCCATATCTATTCTTGACATTTCTGTCTCACTTTCAAGTTGAGTCTCGGCCACTACATTAACTCTGCTCTTACATTCCGCCCTTGTGGGAGTTATCCTCTCTATTTTTATGGACTCTGTATTTTGGCAAACAACTGGCGTGTCCGGTTCAGTTTTTATAGCTTTTGAAGCTGGGTGACTTTCTTCTGTCTCTTTGGATCTTAATCTGAAATATCCATTGATAAACAAAACTGAAGCACTGCTTTTGAAAAAACATTCCGAACTTTATGTATAATATTACTTGGAGCCACACTAGAATTGTCCCGTTTCCTGCTCAACCAAATATAATTCTACCAACTGGTCAAAGGTATCAAGTAGGCACAGTTGCAGGAAAAAACAATTAAAAAATTTAAGTCAAAACATTAATTGTTATAAAGTCAATGTGCTAAAAATGTCATTGATGAAAATCAAAACACAGTAACAGGGTACACTGCCCAGAATGCATTTATATCTTGTCAACAATATTATAAACACCTATAAAGAGCCTGTAAACTAAAACATGTAAAATCAAGTAAAAATGCAGGGGTGGCACCCCTGTATCCAGAACTGGTCACAGTCTGACAGATGTCATCAGACAGCTGATAATATCCTTACAGGATTAAGAACTTTGACAAGAAATGGATTCCATATAAAAAATGCGATATGTCTGCATATGGTGATGTCATGAAGTTAAAAATTGCTTTAACTTAGCCCAATTCTAAATACTAACACCAAAATGCTAAGGACAAAATTAATTTGTATAACTTCCAACTGCTTCCAAGTACCTCTTTCTAGACAGGCTGGTGTGCGTTGATGTTGATGGCACAGTAAAGCTCGCATCTGTCTGCTGCGTCTCTGGCACACATAACTGAGGTTGATGGGATACATCCTTGGCATACTGGGATACATCCTGGGTCAGCTGACTTTGAGGTTCTTGTTTTATACATGGTGCTGTGGCCTCAGTTTTCACATTTCTGTAGTTGAAAAAGGAAAATAAATGCTTGTTTAAATCAAAACATATTTCACCTTTATGCAAACTGACAATAAACCACCAGTCCACATACACAGCAATTTTAGTGATTTTACTTTAAAAATAAAAATGGCAGAAATGTAATTTTTAGGAATACGACAAAATGGGGCATGATTTTGACTGACTATGGTGTCAAATGTGTCTCTTTTATTACAAAATAACTAAAACAACAAACTCACCTGACTGACTGGGACTGCTGTGTAAAGGAAGCCGCCACCTGACTTTGTGATGGAATCTGAAGTAAACTGGATGCTGAAAACGAGAAAAAAATGTGAAAGAACATTAGCCAGTAACAATGAAATTAAAAGTGAAAGTGCTGAATGTCTATAAACAAACCCAGCCATGTAGCTTAAACATTCAATGCAATATTTTACCAATTCAAACTTATCTAGACTAATAGTATCAATCTGTTTTTAAGATGTACCACAAAGAGAATGCATAGTCAGGGTCTTTCACTTAAACCAAAAAAGCACAGCATATCGTAAAGTCTACATGACGGCAAATGTTGTAAAGATGTACCTTGACTAATATCTGGAACCTAAAAACTTATCAAATTTAGACCAAAACTAAAACCAAACTGGCATTTACTTTAAACAATTTTGACATTTTGTGCTATTCTTTACATAATTACTATCATTAATATATAAGTACAGGGGCGGATTCAATGATATTTTCTAACAGTCTTCCAAATTATATTTGTTGATCCATTCTTCATTTTTGACTGTCTTCCGACGGAAAATTTAGACACCCTTCAATGTAAACTTGAAAATCTGACTGTCTTCCAGAAGACCCAGAAGATGGCCTAAATCCGCCCCTGTAGTAGGCAGTTTTCTTGGTTTTTCTGTACCTGGCTCTCTTTCTGGATTGCAGTAGCTGTCAGTTGAACAGTAGAGCACAGCAAACCCCAGCTCCGCATCCTGGATTTGACGTTGTTTATGTCTACAAAAATATGTTCACAAACAGTAGGTATTCAATTCAAACTTTTTTATTACATACCAAACTTATGAATGTTAAATTTTCAACTTATATTGAGGAAGAAATCTTGCTTTTAGACCTTCACTGGAGATAGAAAAACTTATCTGTTAGGCAAAAATATATGCCCAAGTCAAACAAGTGACAGAATTGCTAACTGTAAATCCAATCTCAGAAATTTAAGCGTCTTAACCAATCTCAGCAAAAAATGTTGAAACTGATTCCAAAAAACATAGTTTGTAGATACCATAATTTCTGTGATGCATCTAGTTAAAACAGTTTATATTCTGGTAGATGACAGCATAGGGTACCTTTTCAGATATCTCTGCACATGTGTCACCCAGTCCCTGGCATTTTTGGACAGCAACTGGGGATTAGTGGGCGGTTCACAGTACATGACACATGTCCCCCTCTCTATTAGCACCTTGTCATTGTTATCATCTGTCCCTTCCTCCATCAACACTGGGGTCCCTCCTGCCAGCTCTACAGCTATGCTCAGCTTTCTGAACTGAAATAGAATAGAATAGAGAAGATTGAACATTCTGATTGTGTCTTCAAACTGACACTGGCCTACGGTCCAACCAATTTTAACTTTACACTGATTGAACTATCTTGACTTCAAAAAGGGAATTTATGTCATTTGGTTGAATAAAATATTTTTTAAACAATTAGATCTAGCCTTTGAGTTTTTTTTTTTTTTTTTTTTTTACAAATATGTATCATATAGAAGTGTAACTATTATGTATACAAACTTATCAAACATTTCATTCTGTCAGGATATTAAATCATAAAGTCATTAGATAAATTAAATACACTTAAGAGCAAAAAAAATAGCTTTACTGACTAAGTATAAAAAATGTGGGTAAATGGAGCATTGTTGTACAGGGATGATACACTGTCACCTGACAAACATTTATCTATTATATTCACCTGTTTTGGAGAGAGGAATATAAATTTCATTCCAGAAAAAAGTGTCTGTCTTGCAGGATTTTTCTTAAAGGACACTTCATCTGGGTTGAGCAGCAGTTCAGCCAGGGCAGGGATGAAACTGAAACAATGAGTAGATTAAATTATCTCTCAGGGCAATTAGGACTTTATTACTTGCAAATATACTTGTATAGTTATGTTTTAGAGGTAAGACTTTCAGTCCTTTCAAATTATTTTTTTTTACGGAAAAAGAATCAATTCACCAACAGTTAACTACAAAATGTGACGCAAAAATTATAAACAAAAAACTTATGTGAGATGTTTAAAGCAATAATAACTCTTCCTTTGAGATTCAAAAATCCGCATGAAATACATTGTAAAAAACGCATGGAAATATATTCTATTGTATTTTACCACTAAAACGGCCGTTATTGTAGGAAAACTAAAATCTGTGCTTGTCAATAGGGCTTACGATGCCTTTTTTCCGGTCGACAAGTGCATTCGTTGCTAATGACGTAATGGTGTCACGCGGATTCTCGCGTTCATTCGAGACCAAAATAACATGGCGCCAAACGCATTAGTGCAGACGCAGACGTAAGTTGCGAGTTTTTGTACAGTGCGTCGGATAACGAAAAGCCCAGAATGGCACACATTGTGGATATAAATGCATTTTTAACAAAAAGACGAATATATCTCATGAATCTTATATAGTGTTGTTGTTGTCTGCTTTTCCCGCGGTTTTAAGTAGGTCACCAGTGACTTTGCAATGTCAGAGAGAGCTCCGTCAGTTAAAATCTCTTAAGAGATTTTAACAAAAAACCGTACGTTTAGGAAAAAAACCCTGGATTTACTTTGAATGCAGGAATGGGGTCGTTGGCCATTGGTAAGTACGGGAAAATTGCCGTTTTTTCCAGGAAAATCCAATTTTTGGCCAAAACGAAGAGTTATTATGACTTTAAATAAACACTGGGATATACAAAGACTGATTAAGCCTTCTTTGGTTGATTCTGTAAACATAAACAATTGTCCAGCTACATATGAAACTTCAACTGTTTAAGTTCAAGATAAATATGATCACAATTATTATAATAACTCAGGCTCCCATATTTCAACATATTTCTGAATAATCAAGCAATATTAAGCAAGCCTAAAAAAACACCCTCATCCCTTAATAAATACAGGTAACTTTTCGCATTAGCATAAGTCTACCTACTCATCAGGGTTTGGCAGCTGTTTATTCTGGTCATAGGCTTCAAGTAACTGTGTCAGGTATTCAGGGGTGACAATGGGCTTCTGGGAGATCAATGCACAAACCACCTGAAAATACACACACAATACACTGCACCTGGCTTGGTCTGCCTTGATAAGAGTGGAGCAAGGTCTGCACAAAATTTATTACCATGAATGGAAAGGGTAAATAATTTTTGTATATCAAAAAGTGCTAAAAACATTATTATTTTCTTTTCATTTTCTTTCACTTCATATGCTAGGTTTTGATATGGTTTTATGTGGAAAAATAACACACCACTATCTTGCAACAGGACAACTTTAAATTGAAAATTTAATTCATAGATTACCAGAACACACCTTAATAGTGACACTTATGGTACTCATAACTAACATGTCGCACTCCCGCCTCCAGTCACCAAGGACATGGCCGCCGAGCTGACGTATGACGCCCTTGACAGACTTTTTCACCGAATTGTCCAGGCAAGATGTAGTCACTATGAAAGGCTCACGTTTCACTCTAGAGGGAAAAACAACAGAAACAGAAATTTTTAATTACAGGGCTCGACATTAGCGCCTGTCCGCCTGTCCGGGACAGGTAAAAATTCAGTTCGGACAGGTGAAGTTGCAGGGTTGGCTGTCCGACGGACAGGTCATGCTTTATGAGAAATTTGGAGCAAAAATCTTTTAAAAATCATTTTTTGTTGCATACTAACGTCTTTTTGCCTCTTCCTAGAGGACATTGAAAAAGAGTGACCTACTTTTGGCACAAAACACATGCAGTCGCAAAACGAAGTCTGAGCAAACTTACCGCCAAATTATGAAAGTGAACACCCTCCAGAACTTCAGCAGACAAAATTTATTCACATATCAGGTTCACTACTGAACATTTATTTAGTTAAAAATTTACGTGGTTTAGTAATAAAGACACTTCCAAAAACAGAAACTACACAAGTACTGTGCTGGAGCCAGATTGGACTGGATGAACTGGCTANGTATTTTACAAATTTTGCAGAGGTCAATTCAAAAAGTAATATAATCATTTCTACATCACCCAGAAGAAAATAGGGGTATTTATTTTTCATTTGCCTATCATTATTTAAGTTAACCAAAGACATCCAATGCTGTACTTAGTTTCAATGAATCTTTGCTTAATTTTCCTCTAAATGGTAACATACAAGGTATTAACATAATGTCAGTATACTGGTTAACTCTTTAAGAAGCATCAGAATAACTCAACTAGCACCTGAAGGAACTCTGTGCCCCAAATTTGATTTCATCTCCATCCTTTAGTTCTCTCTCTCCCTGAATCCTGCTTCCATTGACAAATGTCCCAAACTTGGATGTGTCTTTTATAGTCAACACAGGCGGCTTATGTGGGAATGGCTAAAATAGATGAATCAGCAATGTTAACAGTCTATAAAAATTTGGGGAAAATAATTTTTAAAAAATCAAAGGTAAGAAATGTGTGAGGTCAAACAAAAAAGTAAGATGAACTGTTGGACTATTTTATATTTTATCAAACATTTGTGGCCTGAACAGAATTGACATTTTCTATTCCCTAATATTTCCTCTAGAGATGCCTTTAATCAACACATCAGTTTCCACCAAGTGTCATTATCAGTCATTGAAATTATAAGAATCTGAGGTCATATGCAATCTATCTACAGCAACTCTTTCAAACATTAGATACAAAATTACTTAAACTACTGAGTAATGTTTAGCACCAAATGATTTTCTGGGTCGGAAACTTCAACTGTTTCAATATCATTGTAGAAAGTTGAAAAATACCAAATGATTTTCTGGGTGAACAACAATGGCCACAGCATGTTTCCTGCTCATGGACTGGTCTCCTTCTATCAAGATGTCGCAATCCTTCCTTCCTATCACATTCTCCTTATTGGCCAGCAATGGATAACGAACACCTAGAATACATGTAAAAATGACACATTAAATTGCATTCAATACTTATTGTTTATCAAGTAATTTTTTATACAAATAAGGGGAAACTGCCTGTCCAACTGGTCATGACAGCTTGAAATGCCAGAGGACCTGCAAGCTTTTTGATATCTCAAATCTTTTGGACTGGCAAGGTTTAAGTGAAAATACAATAACTAAAAGTAAATCACATGTAAACATGTAAACTAACAGAAATATAATACTTAGTTCTGAACAGCACAGATTGGGGAGGACCTGCAGATTCCCTGCATTGTGGGTCTTCCAGACATTCAGTATCACTAGATTTCCCCAAAGTATGCTTTATACAATAAACTCTCTCTCTCTCTCTCTCTCTCTCTCTCTCTCTCTCTCTCTCTCTCTCTCACACACACACACACACACACACACACACACACACACACACACACACACACACACACGTCCTGATTGACTTACAATACAGGTAGACAAAGGGGGGGGGGGGTTCTCATTGAATGAATGAAACTACTGGTACAGTACACTGTGAAGCAGCCGGTCTACTGCTACCTGCTTATCTTGCGACAATAAATCAGAAACCCTATTTGAGCAAATAACCATAAAACACTACAGTATAACGTCGATAATATGCACTATTTGAAAATTGAAATTACCTGTCTGTGCGGAATACAAAATCCACATCTCCTTAGGTTGGGAAATCAAACATGGAGGGAGGAATAGTCACGTGACGGTATATCATTATGAAAACGAGGTTGGGAAATTCCCTAACTTGACCACAACATAAGATTTTTGGGCTTAATATTAATCAAAGACCATAGAGTCCACGTCAATTTTGTGGCGTATTCAAAGCACACGGCAACCCATTGTCACATCTGTCGTTTTGGTGCAACGAAATTCGGATAAAAAGTCTCACAAAATAAAAGTACGTTTTCTTTTTCACCAGTGGCACAGCCTAACCCAACTTTCGTTTTGCCTGAAAAATCTGCACTTGCTTAGTTTTAAATCATAAGCTGCCATAAAGAAAGTTACCACGTTCATTCTTTAAAACTTAAACAATCGCACGTTTTTACAATACAGGTTTCGAAAATATTCGGACAGGGGTGTTTTCTAATGGTGGGAGGAAATTGATCCTTGAAAACTTTTTCATCTTTTTTTTTTTTTTTTTTTTAATCGAGCTTTTTGAGTGTATAAAATTTTGCTAGAGAATAAGGAATTGTTGCTGTTACTTATTCCGGTATAGATATTAGCACACAAAAAGTATGGTTTTATTGAAGAAATAGAACTTTAACGAAAAGTCAGTTTTTTCCCCTTAATTTTACTTCAATTTTTTATTAGATAAAAAAGAAAGAAAATAAAATTTTAATATAAATATATAAACCTTTCGTAAAACAAACAAAATAAGAAACTTAAAGCAATAATAGCTCTTCCTTTGATATTCAAAATTCCGCAAGAAATACATTGTAAACAACGTATGGAAATATATTCTATTGCATTTTACCACTAAAACGGTCGTTATTGTAGTAAAACTAAAATCTGTGCTTGTCAATAGGGCTTTCGATGCCTTTCTTCCCGGTTGTTAAGACATCCGTTGCCAATGACGTTTGGGTGTCACGCGGATTCTCGCGTTCATTCGAGACCAAAATAACATCTGGCGCCAAACGCCTGATGCAATACGCAGACATAATTAGTTGCTAGTTTCTGTACAGTGCGTCGGATAAAGAATAGTCCAGAATTGCACACATTGTAGATATAGATGCATTTTGAGCAATAAGACGAATATATCTTATGAATCTTAAATTATTGTTAAATAGTGTTGTTGTTGTCTGCTTTTCCCGCGGTTTTAAGTAGAACACCAGAAACTATCGCTCGATATCGCGTGACTATGCAATGACAGAGAGGGCTCCGTCAGTCTTAAGAGATTTTAACAAAAAAACAAACGTTTAGGAAAAAAAACCTGGACTAACTTTGAGTGCAGGAATGGGGTCGTTGACCATCGGTAAGTACGAGAAAATTGCCGTTTACTCCAGGAAAATCCTTTTGGCCAAAACGAAGAGTTATTATGACTTTAAGAAAGACTGCTGATAATAAATATTTTACCTGTAAGAGCCTTGTCTACTTCGCAAGCATTTCTGAGCCCCCCCCCCCCCACCCCCCCACCCCACCCCCAAAGATAAAGGCGAAATCGACACGGCCTGGTGAATATCGCGCTGGCTCCATGGGTTATACAGTAGAAATGATTTATAGTCGGTTTACCTATTAGATATCCAATATCCCATAATGATTTGGCAAAATATAAAGCATAAATTTTGTCACAGAAGATTTATGTCATTTCAGAAAATAGCTAAAGCCTTTAATGAAAAATTGATACTCTTAAAACAGTCTAAGTCGACAAAAACCTTTTAAGAGAATTTACAAAAGAGAAACGAAAACATTAACTAATTATTTTAGGTTGATTAGATTAAAATAGAGATAAAAATGAAAATAAGGCAAGTCGCAAGTAGAAAAAGAGAAAAGATTATTGCAAAAAATAATATTAAAAATAAACCTACAGAGAAAACAAGGTATGTACAGGAATATGGCATTTTCCATATCCACAAAAGCAGACATTGCATACACATTCATACAGTGGACGTTTGAAATGGCAAAGACCACTCACAACTTAAACTGCCAATTTGTGAACTGCTTTGGCTCTAATCGTCTTCATAACGTAACAGGTGAAGTCAAACGTAAACTCAGTGTAAAAAGAAAATGAAAACAACAGCATCCGAAATCATCTAACTAGGAACGTTTCGGGAAGGCTTAAAAAAATAGGACGTAACTTGAATTGATTCAGTAGCTTTCCCGTTATAGCACTACGTCATATCACCTATAAACTGCGGTCAGCAGAAAGAATTGGATTTTCGGGCGGACTTATTTGCCAAATATATTTCTTCTCAAAAATTAGCTTCGTCGCAATAGCTTGAATAAAAAGCGCATCAGTTTATACATATTTGAAGTTTTTTTAACGATTCCCTCTTCTAATGAGATCGTTAAAACCAAAACCGTCTCATTGTGCCCTTCAACGTCATTGATAAAGCCAAATTTAAACTAAATCTCAGCATAAAACAAAGTAAAAGTAAAAGAAATAAACTATCTACGAACGCTCCGTGTCGACTTCTCAAATAAGTGCTCGTGTACATGATGAACTTTAACAACGTTGATCATAATACCATGTTCGCAGACTGGCGTTGCCCGACATGAAAAACATATTTGCAGCTCACGTCCTATGCATTGTTATGGAAGATATATATATACATGTACAGCCAAACTGGCCTTCTATGGGAGGAATTAGAAAGTTCCCATTTGATCGGCTGCCGTGGCTCCGTGGTGGCTCCGCCGGTTTGGGCGCAGATATAGGCGCATACGCGGGATCTAATCTTACAAAAGATTTTCCATCTGACTTTTTTGCTCGAAATAATTTCTAAAAATTGCGTTTGATTACTATAAGAGGAAACTCGTACGTACGGAGGGTGGGTGGGTTAGTCACGGCGCAGTCGGTAGCGTGCTTGGTTGCAAAAAAAAAAAAAAAAAAGCCAGCAGCAAACCATGGTACCGACAAGTCACGAGTTCAAATCCCAGATTACGTATGTCACTTGACCATAACAACGAGCTGGACCCGCAATCGAATACGAATGCAGGCTCCCGTGTGTCCAAGCAAATTACCTGTTGCATAAAAATCCCCTACAGTTTAGAATTAGTGGTCGATTTTGACGACAACTTATTGCTCGTCATTATCATAAAATCTGCGTCGTCAATGATATTTTTCTTTTCTCTTTGCTTTAAAGTGATACTTGGGCGGGGATGGTCATTGATCTCTATCCTTTCCCTACTGCGCAACAGATCAAAATTGAATTGAGACGATACCTTACCCGGCATGGAGTAATGCATGTCATGCAGCCCTTCCATAAAAACAGTCATCTGCTCGATGGGATAATCAGCAAAAAGGTTTTTTTTTTTTCAAAAGTCTCATTGCTGCTATTGCTTTACCTAATCATACATTTTGTTTTTTATGCCCCCTACCCCTCCTTTGGCCTTGCTTATCTAGACTGTACATATATTCATACAGTACACGGGGCAACTCCACAGCACACGTTTGAACGGACAAAGACTACTCACAATTAAACCCGCCAATTTGTGAACCGCTTTGGCTCTAATCATTTTCATATCGTAACAGGTGAAGTCAAACGTAAACTCAGTGTAAAACAAAATGAAAACAGCAGCATCCGAAATCATCTAACCAGGAACGTTCCGGGTAGGCTTATAAAAAATGCGACGTAACTTGAATTGATTCAGTAGCTTTCCCGTTATAGCACTACGTCATACCACCTGTAAACTGCGCTCAGAAGAGAGAATTGAATTTTCGGGCGGAATTATTTGCCAAATATATTTCTTCTCAAAAATTGGCTTCGTCGCAATAGCTTGAGTAAAAAGCGCATCAGTTTAAACATATTTGAAGTTTTTTAACAAACTAATATTCCTCCCTTGAAACGAAAATTTAGATTAGCTGATTCCTAATTCTTAACCGTATCAAATGGCGCCGTTTGCCATGTAAAACACCCCAAGGGCGCCAAGGGTCCCCTGTTGAAATTAGAATGTTGACTAGCTGTATCATAGTACCAAGTGGCACTGTTCGCCCTCTAAAATGCCAATTTTTTTTTTTTTTTTTTTTTTTTTTTTTTTTTGGTCCCTTTCCGGGGGCCCCCCACCCCCCCCCTTTTGGGGGGGGGGGGGGGGACTTGGCNATTGTGAACTTCAATAATGCTTCCTGAAATAAATTTACAACTAGAGAGCAAAGTTGGAAAAGAGTCAGACAACAAACAGCAAAAAAAAAAGTTACATAAAAAATAAATAAATAAAATATCTTCAAATGAATAATTTTTGGATAAATATCCTAGGCCTGGTTACACCAACGGGTCATAATGAAGGTGTAGCAGTTATGCTGGAGTTCCTTCATTGCAATAGGGAAATCAAACTAGGTCCAAAAACCATTTACATAAACATTAGTTGCATACAATTTGTCCACACCTACACATGTACAGTAAAAATGCCAATTTTTTTTTTTTTTTTTTTTTTTTTTTTTTTTGCGGTCCCTTCAGCGGGCCCCAGACCCCACGCCTTGTGGGGTGGGGAGGGTCGACTTGGCATCTGCGGACCCCTCCTTCAAAATCCTGGATCCGCCCCTGTTTTTATATATATATATATATATATATATATATATATATATATACATATATATATATATTCATACTATTAAGACTTCAATGATAAAAAGCAGGCGTTGATGTATATATCTTATCAAGTAATGTGTAATACTATATACAGTTAAACCTACAGATACTGCATGTTCAGTAGATATCGTAGGCTTAATAAATACTTTATAAACTGGGATTTATTTTCTCCAAGATTCCCTTACAAAAAGTATATATATCACAAACAAACTAATGGTAAAAATATTCACAGGGTCTTGGAGACTCCAACTACTGTTATTTCAGTTGATTTTCAGTGTAAAATATTTCTGCAGCTAAATTCAGTTCATCTGAACTGGCGCAACTGATGCAATTTCACCGCAGCACATCGGCGGCTCAAGGCACAGATCTCAGAAATCTGTTACCTTTCAGCAACGTTTCAGTCGCAACAAATAAGGCAAGGCAGTAATTGCCTAGGTGACATGTTGGTGGCATGCTGCCTACCC